ACAGTTTTTAGAAGGCGAGAAAACTCGTTTCTTGGCATCGTTTCATGGTCGAAAAGATTGGAAAGCAGTGGCCTCTCACAATAGAGTCCCCATGACGACAACTTGATGCGTGATTTGCAACAACCAAGCCAGTCGACTCAGTTGGGAGGAGCACGGGTCACTGACTAAGATGACCCCAGACATTTCCTCACGTTTGGAAGAGTGCTTCAACTATAGCTGCCAATATAATCTCAGCTATACTCAAGATAGACTGAATGTAGAACTTGCTATCAACGTCTCAACTTCAACGATCAATCAAACTCTTTATTGGAAGCTGTACACAATAAAACAAGTCTGCGCCGCACCTTCGACTTGCAACAACGACATCAACAAAACCAATCGTAAAGCATTTGCCGACACGTTGCTTATACAAATGCCCCGTGGTGACTGAATCGAGTATTTCGATGAAACGAACTACAGTAGTCCCTCGGAATAGGGAACCCACTAAAACTCTATATCCTCGCAAAAAATATACTTTAGTGAAGGAATGCAAAATAAATTCCAAGAGGTACTTTCAAGTTTTAAACGTCACAGCAAGTAAATGTTGCAACACATGTCGAGTCGAAACACTTGGCAATCACAATGCCGTCACAGTCGACGAGGATGAGACTTACAATTAAGCAAAAGCGTACACTACTTCAGCACCACATGTCGTATCCCAGCATGAGAGGTACTGAGTTGCGCCAATGGGCTCGCAACACATTTGGCCTTCCGCGTGTGCCCCAAAAGTCGACAATGTCGAGGTGGCTTAACAGCTAGGCTGACCAAAAGGATGTCCATCCGTCACATAAGGCAGCGCATCTACCGCACCTATCACAACTCGAGAGTCAACTCATGTCTTGGATAAAAAGGTGCGAAGAGTGGAATGTTCCAATCGTGATTTGGTGGAGAAATTCGACAAATTGGTCGAAACAGCAGTTGAGTCTGACAAGGAGAACTTTGCATCTCGTGCGAACAAATTGCACGAAGTGACCCTGTTGCAAGCGTTGGAATGGGCCAAGGAAGCCTGGCAATGTGTCACTTAAGATACAATTGTGAATTGCCGGCGCCACACAGGCATATTAGATGAAAAGGCTTACGAGTTGATTGATAGTATGCGTAACCTCTAAGGAATGTTAACGTTGTCGTTGATGGTGGTTTTGTCTTCTGGAGGTTGCCAGGGTATCTACCCCCTCCTGAATTCGAATATGATGTCCATTTTTCCATCCAAGCAATTTCCAATGATTTAGTTCGACCAATCCGATTACATTTACCCATCTAAAATTCCTCTATAATTTTATAATTGTCTTGAGGTAATACCCCTAAAACGTATTGGGAGCAAAGGTTCCCTATTCCGGGGGACTACTGTACAATCTGTCCAGCAAGGGTACACAAGGTCACGTCAAGATGGGCAAACGTGCTGTCGCCGTGTTTCCACCGTCAAAAGGAGCGAATCTTCAGATGTAGTGGTTCGTGTCGACAACCGACGGCATCGTCCAATACTGCATACAACGGGAAAGTATTCGAATGGAACAGAACGCAGAATTTGCGGAAGACGTCTACCATGCCGTCAAGACACTGCCATCACTCCAAGCCGAATAAAAAATTCTGCGGCAAGCTCATAGTCATTGCCCTTGACAACGTGTTCGCCCACAAACATACTGTGACCCGCATGCCTGGGCACGACGACAGCGTCTTGCTCCGCCTTGTTACGTACTCGCCGATGTGTAGCCCAATTCAGGGTTGCTTTAGATGCTCAAGGCTAAGATCAAGTCCATTCTCGCCTCAAGACCACCGAAGATGCTAACCGCTGATATACACGCTACGTTGACAACCGCACAAATGGACCTCTTGGGACGTGCCGCTGTGGAGTCCTTGCCTTGTATGACCGCAGTCTTGATAACAAAGATGTCGTTGCATTGCCTTGTTTCCGTCCTTACAGCCAGACGACTGGAGAAATATAACAATATAACCTTTGTCAATACAAGTTTCGATCGAATTTGAATTTACAGTTTTACCACATTGATTGCAGATTAATCCACTTTGAATGAGAGTGATTTCAAATTTACTTCGAAGTAATTGTAACTTCGGAAACACATTGATTGCTGGTTTGGCCACTTTGAACGGGCTGTTGTGCAGTACTACACCTTTTTGCATTCAAGTTGGGAGAATCGGAAGTTCAAGTTGGGATGGTCGTGAAATATAATTAACACAAGAATCAATATTCTGTCAAAAATTATTATCTACCTACTTCCACACCTTCCATATTCAAAACGGTCTGATAGAACTTGCGCGTA